CCCAAAAATCTGCTGTCACTGTGTGTTCTAGCTCAGCCACCTTGGCCCACCTCTGGTCCCCACCACTGGGGACACAGAGAGAGGAAAGGACTCAGCAATCCCTGGAAAAGTTTAATGAAAACTGGCAGCTCTTAGATCACCATCTTTAAAAAAATAATTATTATTTGGAATCAAAATAAGATCTGCTTTGACCCAAAGTAGGAGCAGGACAGGAGGTTGAACAGGTCTTCTGGCCACGGCACGTTTGTCTGACTTGCTTTGGTGGTCGGGAAGACGGGGTGGGCTCCTCGCTAGCACCCACCCTCTGTAGGTGCTTGGGAGGGATGGGGACACTGGTGGGGAGATGGGGGCAAGTACCAGCACCCTGACCTTGTCTGAGCAGATCAGCATCTCTTCTCGGACATCTGCCTGCCAGGCCTAGCATTAAATAATAAATTTTAAAAAATTAAATAAAATAGAAACTCCCTACATTCAGGCAGCCAGGTGTTTCCCCTGGTGCCCCGTCACCCTGTTCCCCAGCACCCCCAGCCTCTGGGAAAGGCTGGGCTGGGGGCCCACTGGAGGACAGGGCAGTGCCATCCCACGGGACAGACACAGCAGCAAGACCCTCACCCACGCCATGAGCTCCCCTGGTCCATGTGGATGACGCTGGCGATGTGGGTACAGATGATGCAGGTATGGTACAGGCAAAGCAGGCACGGATGATGCAGGTGGATTATGCAGCCACAGATGCATGTGTAGGCAACGCAGGCAGGGATGCGGGCAAGCAGGTAGCAGCAGATGGCTGCAGAGGCTCAGTGATGGCTCCTGCCCGGAAAAGCCCCCAAAGCAGCCACCCCACACACCCAGAGAGCTGCTTTCCATATGGATCCAAACATCAGTGCCTCCGTCAAGGAGATAGGCAGGGAGGTGTCTTTACTTGAGAGTCAGTGTCTGGGACCTGGCATATCCACTTCTCTGCTTAATTTTATATTTTTTTTCCCCTTCGCAAGAAGGGGCTGAAAGAGGAGGAGAAGGTTTGTATACCTAGGAGATGTACTGGGGACAGGTCTTAACTTGATTCTCTTACTACTCCTCTGGAGCCTGCCTAGCTCTAAAACATCTGGATGTTATTTAAATGTTAGGGGTGGGATTTTTTTCCGCTAGGCAGAGCAAAGAGAAGCAGATCCAGCTCCTCTGCGTTTGCAAGCCCAGGCTCTGTCCCAGTTGGTTCCTTCTCCCTTCCACCGTTGGTTCCTCACCCTTGCTGCGGCAGGGGATGCTGCGGCGGGTGACGGAGGGGCAGGCGTGCTCCACAGCCACGCTCTCAGCCTGGGGATGAAATCAAACCCATTCCCTTTAGCAGCACAGAGTTAGTCAAAAGAAGTTTATTTTAATGTTTACAATATGTTTCGTAGTCAGAAGAGCTGTTCCTACCCGGGAGGCAGTGCTTCACCACTCTTCCTGCACCGGGGCTGGTGGCACTGAAACAGTTCGCAAATACAACCTTTGCCATTCGGAGGTGAGTGAGAGTCACCGTTTGCTGCTCCGCCTTCAGCAGTGTGCCGTAATATTTCTATTGACTTCAGCCTCTCTTGCTGCACTGAGAAACATAACGGAGTTTGCCAGAGACAGGATTTTTTTTTTTTTGTGGTTTTTTTGTTGGGTTCGTTTTTCTTCTCTTGGCCAACACTCAAGAATTTCCTGAGTAACTTTTCAGAGAATCTGCTCCAGCAACTCAACAACAATATGCTCTGTTTGCTTTTTATAACATAAATAAATCTGAAGATCTGCCAAGGTGGAAGTGGGGAGGAAGCCAGGGAAAAGCGAAGTGATGGTGTGAGGAATGCCTTTTGGCAGAAGTGTCTGAGTGAAAAAACGGGTGCGTGGACAAAGGAGCACTGAGAGCCGCTGGGACAACGAGCAAGTCCATCCCAGGGAAGCTCAGCATCTCCGCTTTTACAGGCACCCTGCAAAGGACAAGCTCTGGATTCCTTTCAAACCTTCCCATTAAGGTAAGGCTTAAACATTCATCTTAAAACAAATTAAAATTGTTATTTAAAAGGTATGAAAACATCCAGTAATTAATAACACCGTTATAATACTGGGTGAGAATATGGGTAGGTGGGACACTGGGCATCTTTCTAACAGCCTGAGTTAAGTTTGGGATTAAGCTTAGTGAGTATTTAAAGGTGGCAGAGTCTCTTTAACCTTACTTTGATATGGAATAACACACCAACAGAGCTCAGTTTACAGCAGAGGTGTATTTGCAGTGTTTCTCGGTGCTAAGAGGATGAGGTAGGTTCAGCTCAGGTCAGTATTTT